CAATTTTCAACTTCTATCAATTCACGATACAGCGCGACTATCATCCAAGGTCTTACTTCAGTTAACATCCACTTCACTTCTGACAGGTTGACCCCACAGGTCATAGCTTCTCACTAGAGCTTCCTGATATCTATCCGGAAGCTGAGGAGTCCCATACTAGGACGAAACAGCTATCCAGTACTCCCAGATTTTCAATAGTTCCCCGACTGATGTCAGTCCATGATGAATACTACTTCGAAATTATTATTATTATTGTGAGGTTATTCGAGGATTCCTTTAAAAGCATTAATTATCGCAGACTGATATCGGTTAGAGAGTCATTGAAAAGCTTGGAGCATTTGACAGCCGTTTCGTCCTAGAATGAGACACCTCAGCAATACGCGCCCACCATCCCACTAGGAGTTGAACTCAGTACTTTCAGGTTCTACAGCGAACTCAATAGTCAGTCAGCCACTAGGTTTGAAGTTCAATGGTCCAAAGTTTCATATTTCTGTCGATTCACGACATAGAGCAACTATCCAAAAAAAGTCTTCAATTGATATCCATTAACAGCGTTATGGATCCGTACTGCTGGGGAACTCCATACTAGGAGGCAACAGCTGTCCAAAGCTTCCAGCTACGATATGCACAGCGAAATGTTCAGAAAAATCTAGTTTTCGAATTTTTTTTTAAAACACACTGGGATTATATTAAAATTTACTTATATGAGTGATTAAACCTAACTAGGTGCTCAACTTCTTTCAGGACATTTGTAACAACTATGGCCTGGATGTTTATATTATCATTATTATTATGGTTATTTTGAAACGCTTATCACTGACTGACAAATCTACATGACTGATTTAGTTTTTTATATATATGTAGATATTTATATAAGAGTAAAGCATTAAAAGGATCTAACTGAAAACCATAGTGTTCACCTCATATATCTGGTTCTAATTTACATGATAAGAACTTTTAAACTAAGTAAATCAAGTTTTCAATTAACTAACAATTACAACAGGCTTTCAATCTAGTAAGAATAAGAAAACTCTGCATCATTTTATCATTTTATTCATGTATATTATGCATATACAAGTCCAGTGCAATTGAAGTCATAAAACTCTATTACTCATCAATGAAGCCGGTTATCTTTCAAAGGTTTCATAGTTTGATTAATTAAAGTGTAATTGGTTTGTGTTAATGTAAACGAACTGTTTGTATTAAATACTTCAGAAGGTTATCAGTCATCAACTACACTGTGATATGATCGACAGCTTAAATATTCAATATAGATAAGTTTGCTTCTTGTCTAAGACTTGTTTTCAATTTACAATACATTTGCATCCTAATGGAGATAATCAGTTGTGTATAACAAAATTGGAGAGTAGCAGAACAAATCCCACTAATAACAAATAGCTAACAAAAACTTAGTTGTCCAATGGATAAGTATTCTCTAGATGCTAGTTGACTGAAGGTAATAGACAAAAAGTCTAGATTCACCTAACTAAGTTTCATATTTGTTGAAACTTGCCCAGGAAGCCATATTTACAACCTTGAAGAAACTGATATTCCCTCTGAGATTTAAACAGGTGTCACTTAGAATTGTAGTCCATGACTTCTTTTGGATTGCCTGCTACTAACTAACATCTACTAACATGCAACAAAATAGTCAGTCACATAGCTTGGTGGCCACATTGCAAAATGACTGATACAACTGAGTCAGCGCATAAGATTAGACGACATGAAACTGAGCGCATTCTAGTAACCAAGGGATATATATGTTGGATGTATTTAGCTACACCGTGCTATTAAGTAACATAAGTAATCTTTAATTAAAATGCTAGCAGGCAACAATACAAAGTTGACTTGACATCATAATCAATAGAAGTAATCGCCTCTTCAAAGAAACAATTACTTATGTTAAATGGTTGCAAAACACACTCATTACATGACCAGTATATGGATGATAATAATAATAATAACGGTGAAGAATATTGGCGAATGGTCTTGGTTGTATCATGTTCTCTAGGCTGGCTTGCTTAATTGTGGAGCTTTCATTGTCATTCTAGATGACTTCATCAGCAATTAACTTCAGTATGATATCCGATATACGAACTAATTGCAGAAGCAGCGATGCAGAGAGAGCAACCCATCATTTTACCTGTTATCATATCAAAAATTTGGATTCACTATGTGGACAACACTTTTGTCATTAGAAAAAATGACACAGAAAACACTTACAGTTTGATCAGAAATGTCTTCAATGATAACAAATTCACAATGGAGGAAGATTTGAACAAGCAACTACCGTTACTGGTTATTCTAGTCAGTAGGACAAATGCCGGAAAACTAGAAACCCAAGTGTACAGAAAGCTAACACATGCTGACTAATCAAATCCTCAACTACAGAACCAACAACCCACAAAATCAGTTGCGTAGAGACTCTATTCAAAACAGCGAGAACACACTGCAGTACAACAACTTCACAGAGAAATGAAGAAAATCACTTGATGTCAATTCTAAAGAAGAACGCCTACCCACAAAACTTTATCACAAGAAGCCTAGCCAGTACATCACCGACCACAAAGTCATCGACAGAAATCAACAAACGCATCACCCTGCTGTACATGAAACAATATATCAGAAATTGCGATAGCTCATAAACCAACAAATTCCCTCCACACCCCATTACGCAGACCAAAGGATGCAACAATCAAAGAAGACAAATTGAATATCATTCACAAAATCAACACTATATTGGACAAAGTGGTCCACCTCTTCGCCTTCCCCTACGTCTACATGAACACCAATTGGCTATTAAACGCCACGACATTTTGTCACGCATTTCAATGCATATGAATAATTATGAACATGAATTCAATTTTTACAATGTAGAAACTTTGGACAGAGGAAACACAAGGAATATCATAGAGTTCCTAGAGTCTTGGCATTCAGTTCAGTTAGTCAGCAATCATCAGATGTTAAGACATAGACTCAATCTATCAACCAATGAGAGAAATGATAAACAACAGAAGGGTCAAAGGCCAAGCAGGGGAGCGGTCAACAGGAAAATCTATACAGTCAATGACACAGCAACCAAGGGAGACAACCAATCACAAACCAGTTGGTTAGGTTAAGCTACTAAATCACTCACAGATAGATGTTGACAGGTCACTTCCTACTGAAGTTAATGCTGATGATGTCACTGTCTAAAAAGACTATGAAAGCTTCACGATTAAACAACCCAGATCAGAGAACATAATACAACCAAGAGTAATAATAACATATTTGCTTTATTCCTCACCATAATTATATTCATAGTACAGAATTCTCAGCGTGTGATATTACATCAATTTACTCATTGTATACTATTTTTAAAACATTAACAATGGTTCTGTTTAACGATATATAATAAAGAATAACAGGATTGTTGAAATGTTAAATAAGTTCAGGGACATAGTTGATAGATAAGACCATGTCTAACAAGAATTTCTTCACACAATGCATAAGCTAAATAAGATGGTATAGTTAAATTTTTGTACATAGTTATGAGTGTATAGAGTTTAATATACTTGCTTCTTGTCTTCCTAGACGACAGATCTGGAGAGAAGTGCAGTTGCAGAGGATACTTGTCATCAGACAAAATATTTTAGACCAGTAGTATACAAGAGTTCAGATACCTAAACACGACTACATTTATTAACTTGATCAGGGGTGTGCTACTTGCTCTACAAACAACCGTCAAAGCCCAACGCAAAACAATATAGTCTTTTTTCCGAGTCAAGGGAAGAATAAAGGGGAACACTAAGTTTGCAAAGGCAAAATACAAGAATTATTGAAATGTAAGAGTAGAGACTAAGTTATACTAGACAGTCTGAGTTTCCTAATATAAAAGGTCAGGTGAAGGATTTCCCCGGAAATCAGTAAGATATGAGATGACCAAGAAAGATAAAAAGAAAAGCATAAACCAAGATGGACTACACTTGCTACATTCTGGACAACAGAATTATCTAAAAGACAAGAGTCATGGGACCGAAATAATATGCAAAAGTCTTTACAAAATGGGTTTCATAAATGCTAACAATGAAACACATCGGGTTAGTTCCATAAAACTAAACACTGAATAAACAAAAAATAATCCCAACCCCTTAAATCGACACCATTTTCTATCAGTCCAAGAGGCAGAGGTAGGTAGATAGATGAACAGAACGCAAATCAAGTTCTACCCATCAGGTGTAGGATGAAACCTCTGGTTACCATAAAAATTCAGTAATTAAGTTCACATTTATCTTTTTACAATACCATCCTTTTTATTATTTATTACATGTATTACACAGTGAAACAGTATTATTGACTGGATGACGTTTTGTTATTCCCTATAGTCATGCCCAGTCCACTCCACAATTTTGAGGAATGGTTGACACAGTTCTATTCTCATTCCTTCCTTGTGATATACGCAATAAAATTCTCAATATATCTTGAATGTGTATTGAGGTTATTCCGGTTGCTGATTCGATAAACAAAGATTCAGGCTACTTTTAACTACTGCCACTCTCTCTCATCCTATTGTATAGTTGTGTGTAACTGCATGCATAGCTGTAGTCAAGTTTTTCATTACACTTCTTGTCATATTATGATTCATTAATCTTGACTTAGCTAAACTTTCATGCATGAATAGCCTAAATGATTCTGGTCATTCATTTGTTTGACTTAACAATGATTGCAAGTCGAATCAGTGGGGTCCTTCAAACTATAAAGCTTGCTCCTAATTGAGTTTAGCTATTTAAATACCACTCAGATGACAATCTTATTGAAAATGTTTTGTAAGGCTTCCAAATGTCATACAATATTTTCCAGGTTAATGATTACAATCAATTTCTTATGGAACAGATTTTCATTTATTACTATGATACTTTGGACCGATTGAGTAGGCAATTCACGAAAGAAAATCTACATTTTGTAACAAATTAATGAACACTCAAAAAAATGAAAACAATAGGAAATTAAAATTATATTACCTTTCGAATATCATTCAATGTATGTAATTCTGGAGATAGACCACCATGTACACATAGAAATTGTTGATTGATCAATGCAGCTAACGGGAGACAATCAAATGATTCCATACAAGCTTCATATACACGTTCTGTGCTTTTCATGATGCCTATTTTGTAATATTATAACAAAGAAGAAGAAAATGCAAGAGGTAATTGACAGTTAAATTGGAATAGAAAATGAGTCTAAATGAACTCAGCAACCATATGCAACTTAGTGCAGTAGGCAGTACTCTATATCTATTATGTGAGGCCCAATGATACAACTAACTGACCGCCCAGATCAAGGTAGATAAACAGAGCGGTTGCTCATTAATTTAGGTAGGTGACTTTTTATTAATGGGTGACGGGTTCGAACCCCGTTTCGCTTAGGGAAAATTGATCAGCAAGGCAGCATCATTAGTAGCCCTCACAAAATAGGTGTGTCTCATTACTTACTACACGAATCTGCACAAGGTTGCTATCAGCATTTTGATTACGATGTAGGTACAGCGGAGTTCGAACACGTGATGACAATGACAATGAACTTGCAAAGAAGCAAATAAATGAGACGAAACTATCAAGGTCATGAATTATTACACTCAATGAATATTGCATATAGCTCATGAAGAAAAAAGAGACAGTACACAAAAGTGAACAGTTAAGTGAAAAAATCTACCAGTGACACTGATTTCATAGTTTAATGGAGACAAAAATAGACAATATTCCCTCTCACTTGTAATCATCCTCCTGAACTACATTCAGTGATGCTAAAATAACCAATCAGAAATGATTGCCCTGCTATTCATGTTTGGTAAAAATCATACAAAAGAATCTGCTAAAAGAAATCATTATCTTGATGATACATTTAGTGTTGGGAAATGTTATTCAGTTAGTAAGTTTTATGGCGATTTATTTATTTCAACATGATATTGATCACGAACTCACTAAAATTACTCAGAGAACCATTGAAAACATAGAAGCACTTGATAGCTGTTTTCTCCAGTATTGGACTCGTCAGCAGTGCACTTCTCACAACTTTACCAGGAATTGAGATTAGGATTTTTCAGGTTCCGAGATCAGCACGTTACCATTAAGCCATTATGTTGGAGATCAATGGTCCATAGTCTCACACTTCTGTCAGTTCACAATATGGCTCCCCACTGATCTTAAGGTTCTGGGTTCAATTCCTGGTAAGGTCATAGGTGCAGACTGCTATAGAGTCCCGTGCTGCAATGAAACAGCTGTCCAGTGCTCCCAAGTGTTCCCCCAACTGACGTCATTCGGTGAAATGAGAGTATTCTTAAACACGTACATACACCCTTTCCCACTCCCACCGCATACACACAAAGTTTATCCATTCTGTGACAAATGGGTTATTTGAACACGAGTATAAAATTTATGACAGCGAAAAAATGGCTCCAATTCAAAATGTCAAGTGAATAATTAAAATTATTTATACAACAATTTATGCGCAAGTTGAAAATCATTATATTCTTTTAATAATGTCTGGTCTATAATGAGCGCTCTGAAGCCAAAGCTTTAAATTGGGAAATTAAAAGTATCAATAAACACCAACTCATACCATCTGTACAAGAAGTGGCTCTGGTGCTGGAGGTGCCTAATGGATAACATTTTGGCGTCTGAAGTGATGGGTACTGGATTCGAGTTTCAGTGGGAACACCACGAATCATTAGGTTGCAGGCATATTCAGCCGACGAGTCCCAAATAGGACGAAACGTACGTACTCGACACAACTGCCAGCCACTAAGCAGACTGAACAAACTTAAGTTGTTTAATGAAGCAACTTTATTTAAAGAACTATCAGTTAATAAATAAGATGGAGAAATATTATCAACACAGGAGCTAGAATTACTGTGTAACCACCATTCACGTTACCATCTTCCTGGTTGAAAAGACATAGACAACGCAAAACAATAACTGTCATCATCATCAATATCAACAGAGGACCAGGCATCACTGCGTAACAGTCCAACTTCCCACACCTCATATCACTACATCAAGTAAAAAGGTAGTCAGGTGAAGGATGAAGATAAGTGAATGCAGTCAAAAGAAATATAAAGTACGAGAAGAAAGAAAAGAGGAATGACAAAATGGTGAGATTCGGTGTAGCGTCGTTAAGATGAGGATTATGTGTGCATACATCTGCGCCACTCACATCGCTTATCAGCTATGTGATCAACTAGAGTCAGTCTTCAACCACTGATTCCTCTTGTCCCCACATGGCTGAAACCAACACTCAGAGACTTCATACATTGGTGCCATGTTTTAGTCTGGCCACCTCGGGCCTTTTTCCAGCCTGAACCCACCTCAGCCAACATTGCATGACGAAGCAATCGGTGACTAGGCATACGTAGTACGTGTCCCAACCATCTCAGTCGATGAAGGTTCATAACCTCGTCGACTGACTTACCTCTTCTCCCTAAAACTCTACACCTACACCTGACTTCTGCATTACTCACATGGTGACACCACGGAATACGTCCTATACTACGAAGGCAACGGTGGTCAAACACTTGAAGCTAGGCTTCTTATATCTTCCACTTTCAATGGCCATGTTTCACAGCCATACAGTAGAACAGACCGGACTGCTGTGCAGTACACGCGACCCTTAATAGACAAACGAATATCACGGCGGCGCCATAGGTGGCGCAAATTGGCAAAAGCCAATCGAGCCTTTTGTATCCGTGCAGAAATCTCATCGGCAACTAACCCACCAGGGTTGATCCTACTTCCCAGGTAAGTGAAGTGGTCAACACACTCAACCACTTCACTCTCTATTGTTAACCGCGGTACCGCTGAAGACCAGTCCTGGAGCAAAAATTTGCATTTGGGTGGTGAAAATCGCATCCCAAACATTCTCAAATTCCCACTCAAAGTGTTCAGAAGACTCTGCATCTTGTCAGCGTCTTCACCTAACAGGACTATGTCATCTGCATATTCTAGATCTAAGGAAAATTCACCTGTGATCCGGTCAACGTCTTTGTAATTAGGTGACGAGAGGGAAACCTCCATAAGAATATCTATGATAAAATTAAATAAGAATGGGGATAGTGGGCATCCTTGACGGACACCACTTGATGAGTATAGCTCCCTGGACAACTCACCATAGGCTCTAACATGCCCACAAGTGTTCGAGTAGAGAGCTTTCAATAAGGTGATGTACTTACTAGGCACGCCTTTCAGTGACAGACACTGCCATAAGACTTCTCGATCAACGGAGTCAAATGCCGCCTTCAGGTCGAGAAATACAGCTATTGTCGGGCGTCTGTAAGCATGCCTATGTTCCAGGACCTGGCGCAGTGTGAATATTTGGTCGATACATCCACGGCCAGGTCTAAAGCCTGCCTGGTTTTCTCGGGCTTGCTGTTCCCGAGCTCCACTCAGGCGTCGGAGAATTATAGAACTTAGGATCTTAGACACTATGTTTGTCAGGCTGATTCCTCTGTGGTTATCACAAGAGGACTTCTCGCCTTTCTTGAAGACTGGGATGATCAGTGACTTAGACCAGTCGGAGGGGATCGTATTTGATTCCCATATACTGGCTAACACTTCCGTTAGCCTGACTAAGAGAACTCTACCACCATTCTTGTATACCTCAGCAGGTAGTCCGTCTGGTCCTGCTGCCCTTCCCGTTTCAGGCTACCTACCGCTTTCTCAACTTCTTCTAGTGTTGGGGGACCTGTCTCTATGTCCCATTCAGGGTCCGACTGGATAGCGGGCAGCGCAATGGTGGCTGGAGGCCAGTTAAACTGTTCCTCGAAGTGTTCTGCCCATCGTTCCAGTCGCCCCCCCTGCGAGTGAATCGCAGATCCGTCCTTCTCCGCTATAACCTCACTAACTGTTGTTGACCATTTCCCCCCAGTCTCCTTAATAAGTCTAAATAACTGTCTACTGTTACCGATCGCCGCTGCCTTTTCCATCTCTTTAGCCTTTGCTGCCCACCACTGTTCACGATCGTTGCGCAGACTTTTCGTCAGTCTATTTTTAAGTTGCGCTCGCTCTTCATTGTACTCAGAGCCTGCAGGGATGCATTCACGTGCATCCATTAGTTTGGAAGAAGCTGCTGATATCCACTGGCTCTTTTTAGCCATTATCTTGGAGTCGGCTACAGTCTCCAGTGCTGCTTTTACAGTAGACTGAAGATGGCACCAAGCTTCTTCTGGATGAGTGACAGTCTTTTGTTCCGATAACTGCCTAGCCAACTTCTCACTGAACACGGCTTTGGTGTTTTCGTTGTCCAGCAGAACTCGTAGTGGTTTTGTTGCCAAATTTTTTCTACGTCCATTGAGACGCAGGCATATACGTGCTCGGACCAACGCATGATCGCTGTCCAAACACGTACTCCAGAAGGAGCGGCAGTCTTCCACCGATCCTCTCCAGCGATGACTAATAGCAATGTGGTCTATCTGTGTCCATCGCTGAGTCGAGCTCGGTGGACGCCAGGTCAGACAGTGCCTTTCTTTATGTCTGAAATTTGTGCTGGCTAAAAATAGGCGGTTATCTGAGCATAGTTGTAATAGGCGATCACCGTTATCTGTACGTTCAGCTGGGATTCCGAAAGTGCCACCTAAGTGCCTTTCTGCCTCACTCAGTCTACCCACCTGTGCGTTGAGGTCACCTGCAACAACCACTACGTCCGAACGTTTGGCTTTCGAGAGGAGGTTAGACAGTTTATGGTAGAACTCGTCCTTCACTTCATCCGAACTACAGTCAGTGGGTGCGTAAGCAGAGATTACAAAGAGACAACGGCGAGTCTCACTATTCCTTTTAGTTCTCACTGTGCCGTTCAGCCTCATAGCGCAGAGGCGACTATCAACTGGGATCCAGTCTAGTAGTGAGTTTTCTGCCCTGGTGCTTAATGCTATACCTACACCTGCAAGACCACGAGAGCTAGCTATCGAATCTCCAGAAACTCGAAGGGTGAATTTTGCAGATTCACCAGATTGGTCAGGAGAGGTCAGGTGAATAACCACACTTGGGTCCTGTATGCGTGTCTCACAAACACAGCACACATCCATGCCCGAGTTGCTAGAGTCTTTGCCAACGAAGCCTGTTGGCCAATTTGACGGAGGGTGCGGACATTGAAGGCTCCAATATGTAATTTGGAGCGTGGTTTAAGGAGACCAGGGATGCTGTTCTGTGGACTCAGATCGTTGTCGAAGGCTGCAGAGGTAGGAGAAATTGAAGATGATGCAGCATCATTAATTAAGAGACGTGAAGGAAGATTAGAAGGTAATGATGGAGGAGGAGGATAGCAGTCAGAAGAAACTTGGGTGCTGACAGAGTTGTGAGGGCGGTTGACACTTCCCGGCTGCCCACACCGTGGAAGGCTATTTCTTCTTAAGGTACCTGAAAGAGATTTGTGTGACCGCAGAGCCCATCGGACATCTGCTTGAGGCCTGTCACACCCAGCCTTTTGAGTATGATTATTTTGAACTTTTGTATTTTTGGGGCCGGATGGTCGAAAGGAAACGACAAGTGAACCAACACCGCCGGCCCGGCAGACCGTGGGGCGTGGTGGAGTGTGTTATTTTTGGGGCCGACCTTTTCTAACCCCCCTTCCACTGAGAAGGCAGCATCAGCATGGCACTGCTGGTCATCCAAGGGAAACACCTTACTGCTGTCACACCCCATCCAGCTAGCAGCAGTACGACTTCGCCCTCAGACCCCCATCATAGTGTAGCAATTTACACTATAACGGTAACTGCTTTTCGTCTAACCACTACCCAACAGACCTTTCTGGTATGGTAGGACCTCGAGGGAACAAGCGTTCCACCAGCATAGCTCGTTGGGTCATTGTGATATGCAAGCCCGACCACCACGTCAAGGTAGCAGCTATCGGTGATGATGTCGTCTAGCAAGACGATGAAAGCTTCACGATTAAACAAGCCAGCTCAGAAAACACAATGCAACCAAGACCATCCACCTGAGCTACAAATATTCTCCAGTATCCCACGTTGCTTCTTTATCTTCCAGCTAAAGAGATGGTCTATAAAGATAACTATCTACTTCGAACTGAAGGTTCAGGCAGTATCTTAGCTAACGCCTAGTCAATAATGATAATACACCTCAAAGAAGACTTCAAGACATTGAAGTGAATTGCTCGTTACGAATACCTTAATGCGTGAAAAAAATGATTCGTATTAGCTTTTTGATGCTGCTATCTCATTTTCATAGGGATTATTGTATTCTGTCTATTTTTCTTTTTTATCCCAATCTTCATCGCATCTTATGAAATTCTGATCTTGGTTGTGTTGTGTTCTCTGAGCAACCTAGCTCAAAGAACACAATACAACCAAAACCATCTACCTGAGCTACAAGTATTCTCCATCATTTTAAATTCTGATCTGCCTGGGTAGTTTTTAGTCATTAAATAGTTAACTTCACAAAATTACCTTTTAATGAGATACATAATTCAAGTATTGTGAAATCGTTCATACTGTTTAGATTTCAAGCTTACACTCTGATACAAATCGACAGCAGATAGATTCCACTAGGATTTTAGAAAGTCTTGCAACTGATTTGTGCTGTATCTCAGGGACTAGTATAGAAGTTACCAATGAAGTAGAGTTGTGGCTCATTCGGCACTTGACTATCATCCGCTTCACCTACCGAGATCTGAACAATCAGGAAGTATCATCTGCCCTGAAACAATAGTTGTGGTTCATTACCTATTGAACGAATGTGCATAAGGTTGTTAAGTGTCTTTTGATTTTTCGACTCAATTACAAAAATGTGGTTAATGCATGTTCATCCAGAAAACCTATGGTATGTGTGTACACGCATACTATTATCAAGTCCAAGTACCGAGGCTTCCTTAGTCGACTGGTTCACAACTACCAGCCATCTGTGTGTTGTTACACTATAAGGTTTGTTCAGATTAAAAAGTAACTGCCAAAAGACAAGCTATCAATTCGTCATCTCCTTCTGTACTCAGATAAGGATAAAATCAATAACACTCTCAACTGCGTCCACTGTGCAGAAACATGAGGTAAGAAGAAAGTGGCTCAGGTGGCCAATGCAGTCCATCTACATCTATATCCAGATCACAACCTACTTCTAGCTCGTACCAACTCCCAACACAGTCATTACCGTTACCCTACTTGACAAAATCTTTCTGACACTCAACCCTAAACTTTGATGGATCATATTTCTATTAGCAACCAAAGGTTCAACTTCAGTTTCTTGAGCTCTGTCGTTGGTAAACTCTATCACAATCAGAGGAAATAAGGTTCAAAAATAAATTCAAGTAACAAAATAGTCCCTAATATTATTAGATCCAGGCCATGTGAAATATGTGAAAAACGGATTCGCATTCCATTCACACCTTGAATGCATTAATTGACTGTACAACTGTTCCCAAATACCTGAACAGCTTCACACATTGCAGACGAACAGTAGCATTCCTTGATATTATATACATATCAACTGTGAGATTAGTGTTCGTAAGTATCGTATATGCTTTCCACCATTAAAGTAAAAACTAATTTTGCAAAATTGGCACGAGCCTATGCTTGCAATCACAGAATGTATTCGAAAATATCGTGTATCTGAGAAGTTTCACGAGTGCTAGTGGGGGGTGTGAGTGATGAAATTTCAAACAGTATATCAAAAGCTAGAGTGATATGCATCAATCTGGGTCTGTCGTAAAGTTAGTCTGACTATAAAATATTTCGTTTATAAGGCTTCGGTGCAAGCAGTTCTGCTCTATGCCTGTGAAACCTGGCCTCTCTTCCCCAAATTGAACTGACTATGTCCAATGAACCTATTTATTCCATCGTGGTTGTCTCAGTAAGACTGCTCGGATCCCATGGCAACACCATAAAATTAATTCTGAGGTACTATAGTCTGCGTTCCGGTATGATTGGGATCGTCATTCAATAAGCAAATTAATCTGGAAACAACGGCTTTAGTGGTTGGGATATGTGTTACATATGTCACTCCAACGGCTTCTATACCGTTCATTTTTTCCTAGGCCCACGACTGGGTGAGTTAACCATTCAGTCACTGGATCGGTTTGCAGTGGTTCACAATTTCCAACTTCTGTCAATTCATGAGATAGCGCGACTGTCATTCATGGTCTTCAGTTAGCATCCACTTCACTTCTGACTGGTTGACCCCATAGGTCACGGCTTTTCATATCACGAAGCTCTACATGAAGCCGTAACCTGTGGGTCAACCAGTCAGAAGTGAAGTGGATGATAACTGAAGACCTTGGATGATAGTCACGCTATCTCGTGAATTGACAGAAGTTGGAAATTTTGAACGACTGGAAACTGACCACCTGACTGAATGGTCAACGCGTTCGCCGTGAAACCTGAAGGTGGTGAGTTTGATCCGTAGCCATGTCGTGGGTGCGTAATGGTGAGGAATCAGTTGCATACTAGTACGAAATAGCTGTCCAGTGCTCCCAGATTTTCAATGGTTCCCCAATTGATGTCAGTCCATGATGATTACTACTTCTAAATTAAAGATCCCCTTCATCTCGAAATACATTACTAATGGTCATTAGTGACTTGCTTCTAGATGGATGTCAGGAAGTTTTAATGAGAAGCGGTGACCTATGGGGTCAACCAGTCAGAAGTGAAGTGGATGATAACTGAAGACCTTGGATGATAGTCGCGCTATGTCGTGAATTGACTGAAGCTGAAAATTGTGAACCACTGGAAACCGACCCAGTGACTGAATGATTAACGCGTTCGCCGTGAAACCTGAAGGTCCTGAGTTCGAACAAGTATATATCAAAGGTGATAAAAAATGTAGAATGAATATTACTATAAAACACAGAGATGATAAACTTACATTCTTGTCTGAAGGTAAAGTACTGAGTTAAATGACGACATTCATGATTACCGCGTAGAAGATATAAACTACGAGGATATAGAATCTTCAAACTGAACAGGTAGATTAAACACTGTGAAAGGAAACAAGTAACAAAGCCATGATTAGTAATATATATATCAATACAGAAGTGTATCACTTTAAGTTATCAGTCTTGGTAGCAACAGAGAAATGAGTGAAATTAAAGGTTAGTGGAATTTATAAAATGTGGATGATCATAAAAAGGTGAATATGTCAATGCCATCATGGACTCTTTGCAGACACCTACGTCATAAACAATCTCCAACCATTGATTCGTACAATCATAAGAACATCAATCAAGTGGACTACAATTTCTTATAAGGTTCATATCAATAATCAGAAACATCATGAATCAATCCCGTGTCTGTTAGTCACTCATAGCCTTCTATCAATAGAACTTCGAGATAGACTGAGATTAAGTAAACGATATAAAGCGCATGTCTACAAGAAAATTCAGTAACATAAAACTGAAGCAAAATGATGTGCATTTATCATTTCAATTGATCTTGTGAAGCTCGTTAAATTGGGCACATAATGAACCAGGTCCATCGTCGAATTTGTGAGCACTAATCATCATGGTTGAACAAGGTACAATAAAGAGTTCTATAAATGTACACTTTATTGACCCTGGACATCAAGTAAATACTAGTAAAGTATTCAGAATTATTCATGACAGTCCAATTAATTTACCACATAGACTACGCATTCATCTACTTCACATAGTAGAGGTGATTGCAATCCATCTTTACAAACCTGACCTTTGCATTCAAAAAAAGTTTATTCAACCATTTGGATTACCGTGGTTGTCAACATGATGTAACTTCTAGTATTACTTTGTACACTTTTTCACCTTCTTGTTTCTATCAATATTCATTTACTTTCTTATTGTTAAGTAATTATTTATTGTTTATGATTGAATACTCATCAAAAATCACTCCATTTAACCAAGAATAATCTACTTCATATTACTAATTTCAACTACTGTATTGAGTATTTGCATCTTAATTTCTAAAACTTGAAGATCTACAGGCGAAAACCAACAAGTTGACAGAAGAGGAACGGCAGGGCAGCGAAAACGGGACTTCAAGTAAATATAGGGAAGACAGAGGTGATGAAGATATCCAACCAACAACAACAACAAGCTCCAATCACCATCAATGGGAGAAACTAAAAGCAAGTAGCCTCTCTCACCTATCTAGGAAGCATCGTTTCAACTACAGGTGGAGGTGGCACACACCAGGATATCAAAGCCAGCTAGAATAGGAAAGATAACAAAATAGGTGTTCATTAACCTGAAACCAGTGTGGAGATCTTCTGCACTGCACTCAGCATACAGCGTGAACAACATCCACATTTTCAACACCAACGTCAAGTCAGTGCTTCTATGTGATGGTTGAGAGACTTGGCGTCTCACGGAAAGCATTCCCAACAAATTACAGACATTCATCAACAACTGCCTATGCTGGCTCTTTACTGAAGCTCGAATAGCCAGAATACTAAGAATAAGCAACAAGGAACTCTAGCCTGCTAACGAACCAACCAAGAACCTATCACTCAACAAATATGCAGGAGGAAGTGGAGATGGATTGGGCATACACTGAGAAGGCCGACTGGGGATATCACGTGTCAGGCCAGTCCCTCGAGTGGAATCCCCATGGGAAGCGACGAGTTGGGCGTCCTAGGCGAGGGTGACATGGAGGAGATCGTGTGAGGAGGAAATGAGAGCTTCTGGGCTGTCGTGGAACCAGGTTCAAAAGATCTCAGAGAATAGAGGTCACTGGAGACGTGCTACTGAAGCCCTATGTTCCACTAGGAACCCAAGGGACTAATAATAATAATAATAATCTTCATGATTCACTTAAAATCTATAGTTATTGTTCACCAACCCCCTCCTGACTTGATTGGTATTTTGATTGAATTATAAGTCTAGATATATTAATGTACAGCCCAAGATGAAGACCTAATTGAAAAAGAACATATTTCTTGGCTCAATCAGTCTTTTTTCTAAATATCTAAATGGGAATTTTAGTGTACAATAAATAAGTTATCTCTTTTAAGCTTACCTCAATTGTTTTCCCGTGACTATTCGTCAACAATTGAAACCTACTGCTTGAGTATTTGTAACAATAATCAACCAGTGTCACACCTTAAGTTTTTTTTTCCCTTATGATTGTTGAATGCTTATTATACACCTTTCTGTAGATTTTAGCTTTTGTAATCAGTTATTTCTTTTTCGAAGTAAGTGTAAAACTAATTTTTATCAGGAAATAAAACTCTGACATCTTAAAATATATCGAAAAACACTCAGCAACCAAGTGCACATTCATGAAAAAGGCACTAGACGGCACCTACTGTATGAAACCTAATCATACTGTCACCTGCATGCCAAAACCTTAAAGGATAAAGTGGGTCTCGAACTTGTAACCCACTGGATAAAAGTCAAGCCCCCTAGATCAATGAGCGACAGCTCTCCTACTATCTATAACGTACACCTAAAATGCAATATTAAGAAGTTAAATATTATTAAAAAAACGCATCCTAATCTTAGGAACATGAAAATTAAATAACATGTCAGCTGACGACTCCCAAACAGGACGCATCGCGTGTCCTCAACTCCACTGCTAGTCACTATCCAACATTAATGTAAACACAGACAATATCGAGGCATCCACACAGGAGCCCATATGCCAATACAAACCGATCAAATTCGGTCCAATCAATGACGGAATAATACAAGTAACATCTGGTCAATTTTGTAGGGCAACAGAAAACACATAATTAGTGTTTGTTTCCAGATAAGACAGATAGACAGACAATATCAACATTAGGACCTCGTATTATTGATTAACGATTCAGGTTGCCACACCTCCTTCAAGTAAGAAAACAAAACAGAAAATCAATTATCTGAATAATCTATGAGATCTAACATAGGAAAGTCCTGAAGAGAAATGAGGAAAATCAAATCATATAATAGTGTGATGATAGTAAGCGAATGACTTTTCCAACATTCAATTGAATCAATAATGTTTGATGTTAGGCAAAGTTAATCAAATGAAGAACTTAATAACAAAAATAAGTGGTTGATGTAATCATTTTATGAGGAGTTCTATGAACAACAGTTACCCCTTTAACCTTATTAGCTATTGTAATTGGGATTCATTAGTCTATAAACTTGACTTACAGTCCTACCTCTCTCGTGCCTCAGCCAGTGGATAACGCGTTTAACCGAGTCCGGGTACATCCAGCTGATGGATCCTAAATAGGACGAAATGTGAGTCTTGGATCCCACTGTTAGTCATAACAAATATTCAGGCAGTATTAAGGTATCCCCATTGAGCATATATGTTAACAAAGATCAAGTACTTCGATCCCAAATAACAACAAGTATCAATGAATAGTAATCATAGGCCAGTTGGTGGAGCATTGGACCAGAAACTCGGATGGTCGCTGGTTTGAATCTGGCTGCGGTCCAAATTTTCATTTCACTTTCAATTATCACCCAGTATAAGTAATAATAATAATAATAATACCAGTTCTGCCTGATCAAGCGATAAGTACAGCTCATAACCTACTCTACATAAACAACTTTCCTAAGTTAAGTGGCATTATTATTTAAAAAATTACTTAGGGAAATACAGAATATTCTCTTTGATAACTAACTTCCTCCTTCTCACGTTCGACAGTTATGTATCCATAATGTGCAATTCAAGAATAAATGTGTATATGTCAAAAAAAAGTGATATTTTAAGATTTTCAACATTTTTGTAATATTCATTTTTTGCATAAACTATCCCGTAAACACTTACACACACACACACAGGCAATACATCTATCCCTTGGGCAGATGTAATGTTGAATCCCTTGTGAATACTTATATATATATATATATATATATATATATATATATATATATATATATATATATATATGGTGGTTGACGTTTTGATTAGCGATCGGAGTGCATTCTTTTGCCCATTAAGTTCGTATCGATCGTAAACTGCTAGGTTATATTACCGATCATGGCAATATGTAACCTAGTAAGTGCGAAATAACAAATACTTTGACCGGTTGTTTTACCTTAGTCGGTGTTTCCATGATAGAATATATTTTTAGATTATCCTGATAAAACTGTTGATTTTAATAGCCCACACTACCGCGTAGTATACTCTTCGTACGATCAAGAACATTTGAAAATCTCACGGGCACCATAAACGGCACATACTTAGAGCATATCAAACAATTCATATCCTTCAATGCATCCTGAGACTCATTCAACTGCTCTCTCTCTCCCCATCTCCTTCCCTACCTCTCTCTCTCTCTCTCATAGAAGAGAATGTTGCTCTTGAAGCTGTCAGTGTAACCAGCCGAATCACTTCGTTTTTGTTCTATTGGATATCTTTGTTCTAATCAGTTCTAGTGTACTAACTTCTTTCCGACAGATATCAAGTATTTTATGATGCTAACTCAAATTGCTCAAAAGACTTCATTTCTTCGTCTAGTATCTATTATATTAACGTTATACTATTGTACATAGATCAAAATTATATTTTACAAAAAATATTCTGGAGCTAGCTGGCAGACAAGATCAAATGGATGGACGATGTTTGAGATCAGTCTGAAAAGACTGTAACTATTCTCAGTACCATACAGTTAATTTGGAAAACAATGAAATGTTGTTCTTCTATGAAATATTCTTGATTGTATTCTGTTTTCTGAGCTGAGCTGAGAGGTTTAATCGTGAAGCTTTCATCGTCTTGCTAAACAACATCATCGGCAATAACTTTAATATAAAGTGAGCTATCAATATCTCTCCATGGGTGATTAAGTGGCTTAGATCTGCTATATGGGCAATACTTATAAAGATAACTAGAAAAACACTTACAGTTTGATCAACAAATGTTCAATGACATCAAATTCACAATGAAGGAGTTGTACATTCAACTCTTATTCCTGAATGTTTCGGTCAGTAAAACCACAAAATAGAAGCAGAACCATAAAATTGAAAACTCATATATACAGAAACCCAACGCATACTAAAGTAACAACAGCCATACAGCACAAAATGAGTTGCCAATAGAGTTTATTCCAAAGAGAAAGAACCTACTGCAGTAGGATAACTAGTTGATATCTATCTTAAAAAAGAACGCCTACCCATAAAACTTCATCAGAATATGCCTATCCCGTTCAACATCAACTACAAAATCAGCAAACGGATCATCCTACCGTACATCAAGAATATATCAGAGGTTACGACAAGATTACTGAGACAAACCACTTGGAATTGGTGTGTCTCATAAATAAACAAATTCCATTCAAACCCTATTATGCAGAACAAAGGATCCAACAATCAAAGAAGACAACAGAATATCATTTACAAAATCAACTGTAACAGTTGAGATCAACACTAAATCGGACAAAGTCATCACACTCTTCGTCATTGTTCACGTGAACATCAAATAGCTATTAAACGTCATATTTCATCGTTCATTTCAATGCACATGGATAACAACTATGGACATGAATTGAACTTTGAAAATGTAGAACTCCTAAATAGAGGAAGCATAAAAAATGTAGGAGAATTCCTAGAAGTTTGGCATTCAGGTCAGTCAGTCAGCAATCAATAGATGTATAGCCATAGACTCAATCTATTAACCGTTAAGAAAGATAATAAACGACAGAAAGGTCAGAGGTGAAGTAGAGGAACAGCCAACAGGAAAATCTATCCATTCAGTCAATAACACAACAATGAAAGTAAACAATCAATCACAGACAGCATCGTCAGAGCAAGCCACTAAATCACTCATGGAGAGATATTTACAGCTCACTTGATACTGAAGTTAATGCCGATGATGCCGTCTGGAAGGACGATGAAAACTTCACGATTAAACAAGCCAGCTCAGAGAAAACAATACAACCAAGATAAACCCAATCTATTAATTAATAAAAAAGTTCAGTGGTCTGATATATATAAAAAGCCAACAAGAAAGTCTGAGTAGTCAATGATATAACCAATCACAAAGCAGTTCATTAGGGTAACCTACTGAATCACTACTTACAGAGAAATACTGACAGCTTACTTTATATTAAAGTCAATGTTGATGATCTTGTCTAGAACAACTATGAAAGCTTCATGATTAAACCACCTAGTTCAAAGAACTCAATACAATCAAGATCATTGACCTGAGCTATAAATATTCCCCACCAGAATATCCGGTTAAGTTATATATAGTCTAACAGGTTAACTACAAGTTAGAAACTCATATCTAGCCAATCAGTTAGTCAGCCTATTTACATGGAAAGTTTAAACGAACAACCATCTTTTCACTTTCCTTACTCTTTGAACAATTAAATCGCTTATAGACTGCTATACATTTTTCTATTATCCAACAGTTCACAGTTAAAAAGTTATTTTCTAAAAGCATCAAGGGAATACCAGAAAAGAAAATTTATCTAAGTGAATTATTATCTTGTATACAGTGTACGCCATTTATTCACTTATTTACTTTGCTTATAATAACTTTTTTTCAAGTAGACAAAAATATAGACAGAGGGAGACAAAAGATAAAAGAGAGAGAAAAACAAGGAGTCATCAAGTATTTTTCCTCTGTACCTTATTATCATTGTCCACTAAAATATAATAACACACAAATGAATTAGATAGATCAATTATTGATACAGCTGACTATATATGCAGTTTACAATATCCAATCGAATTGGTCAATTATGCGCATTCATTGGAAACTTATGAATAATTTAAAGTACAATACAGTATAACTTTATTCCATTAGCTAGTTACAATTAGATAAAAAGTGGCCTAATGAATAACGTTTTGGTTTTTGAAGCAGTGGGTAGTGGGTTAGAGTCTCAGAGGGGACAGCATCGTTCACTGGAGTGTAGGTACATTCAGCTGATGAGTCCCGAATAGGATGGGACGCGCATCCTGGATCCCACGGATGACTTTAAAGGCTATCCTAGTAACTGATAATGATAGCCAATTAAATTTCTTTATGGTAAAGTACTTTCCTAGGTGAAATACTGGAGTCTGAATGGTTATTTCAATAGTTGTCAAGGTGGCCTTCAAAGTCATTCGGACCCCACTGCTAGTCACCAAGCAAACATCAAGAGGAAACCTTACTAGCGTTAAACATTATTTTCAACACTATGATACATTAATTTTTTGCTGATATATTTACAAGAAAAATTATTTAATTCTGAGTTTGTGGGGACTTATCGGACTGAAATCAGTTGGAGGAAATTAGAAACCTGGGAACATTAAATAGCTGTTCTGTCCTTGTATGGAACTCTTCAGCAATGCACAGCGGTCGATCCCAAGACTTTCAGGCTCCACGGCCAGCACGTTACCATTGAACCACTGGGTCAGAATTCAATAGTCCATATTTCCTACTTCTGTCAGTTCACGACATAGCACGGTCTCCATCCAATCCCGTCATTGAGTAAGTGTCCTCGTGTTCGACTTGGCTGGCGTCATTGGTCATGACTTCTCATTGGAAGTTTGGGAATTCTTCCCAATGAGTTCAGTTTTAATGTTTGTGGGGATTTATTTATTGATTTCAGGTTGGTTATCATTATGGACTGACTCAATGGTAACGTGTTGGCGGTGGAAACTGAAGGTCATAGGGATAGATCCCTTGCAGGTCGTGAGTCCATACCGCTGAGTAGTCTTATACTAGGACGACACAATCCACTAGTGCTCTCAGGTTTCCAATGTTTCTCCAATGATACCACTTCATGGTGAATACCAAACTGAATAAATAATAAAAATAAACAGAATGCTATAAGAGATGATTAGCTATCCTATTGAAGTAAATTTTCAATATTTACTGCTAAATCTTTTCTAAAAGTATTCAACTTCATAAATTAAATAAATGAAATTTTTAACATTAATCCACGCTAAGTATAGATTCAAATCACTTATGAACAAAATGTCATGAAAAACATACCTCTAGGCTAAAATAACCTCGATCAACATAATCTCCAAGAAAAAGATATCGAGTTGTTTCAGGTGGACCACCAACTTCAAACAATTTCATCAAATCGTAAAACTGACCATGTACGTCTCCACAAACTGATAAATATCGCGAAAAAAAAAAGAAAAAAGAACAGGAAGATAAACAACTGTATAAGCATAGTTCATGGATGAGACAAACACATTAGACAGAGATAGCAGCAGAAACAAGTAATAAGGATTTTATAGTAATAATGGATGCAGGCTAGCAGTGGAATACAAGACGAGCCTTATGCCCTGTCTGGGACTCGTCAGCTGGACACATCTCCCTCCAAGTGACCGATGTTGTTTCCCCTCGGACTCGAACACGGGACCGATTGCTTCAACGCCAAAGCGTTATCTACTACGCCAATGAATTACGATACCCACTTCTAGTGCGACGCGCATAGTTTATATGATGTTATCGTTTGTATTATCCCGTCGTTGGTTGGACCTGAACGGTCTCTATTGGCATATGGGCTCGTGTGCAGATGCCGCGATAATACCTTGTCACAATGTTATGTTAACGATGTGTAGCAGCCAACAGTGGGATCAAGACGTGTTTCGTCGTATTTAGGACTGATCAGCTGGATGTAACTGCCTCCCAACGATAGGTGTTATGTCCACTAAGACTCAACGATTAAATGATACAAGTAACAACATAAATATTCAGCGTTAGTGAGTAATAATTATTAACGACACTTTTTGATGCCTCCAGGATTCCTATCACTAAACATGCACATGCTTCGTCACTGTTTCTCAATACTGTCCATGTGGGAATTGATAAAAATCCTCGAATCGGAACAATGTTGTGCTTTCGCCACGAAAATTGAAGTGGCTACCATCACCACAACTTCAATTTCACTGCCTATTCCTGACAACGTGTAACTTAAACGCTCTACAGTTATTATTACTTTCATTGACGAAGTATACATGTTACAAACAAAATTTCTACTAAATAGCAAAAGATGTTTATCTATTCATAAAAACAGAAGAGATAATTCAGCGATGAGAACTTTTTTTATCAAACATATCACTTTTTAATAGCTGGAAGCTTATCTACAGAAAATTCTCATCCATCCATCCCACTCAAACCGCTGAAAATGATATTCTTCTCTATAAAGCTACAGATCAGCTTCTGAAGTCAGCAAATAGTCCCGGGATGTGCTAAGGATAAGTTGCTGCTTTGAGCCACTTCAATGTGTACCTACAAATTTACTTGCTCTTGTGAGTCTAGGAATATAGGCACTTTAGAACTAACCTCTGAGCATCATCCTGCATGGTTGTCGAGGAGAGAACGTAAATCAACCTAACAGTTCAATTTCTGAACAGTTGGTCAAATTTGCATATATAACTTCACCAAAGTCCTCCCTAGGTGTCATTTGTAGAGTCAAAGGAATAATTCAAAAGGAGTACGCTTTCGACAGTTGGACATGGTAATGCAACGGCAATTTACCAATTCAAGCCTAATCTATGTATGAAGAAGAAATATGTTCAGTTTCTTATCTTACCATGGTCTTAACACTTTCATGATTTTCGATTTCACTACAAGTGGTTAGTTAATTTATTAGCACCTTCAGCATGACCATTGTTTCTTTCTTCACTATCTTTGAGCCTATCAAGTGGACACTCAATCATCGCATTTCACATCTATCAACTGTTTCCACATTGTCGAACACCTTGTCTTTCTCGATAATTCCATTATCTGAAAGATTATTACCCAACTCCTTTCCAGTTTTCAACATTAGCTTAATGATGCAACTATACCCATTTTTGTTTAATAACAGACTTAAGTGTTCATATATATACGATTGTATAGGTTTAGAAAATGGTATAGTGGATAAAGAAAATTTCCTTCGCTGAATTTTATCTTTCTTTCTACCAAAACCAATCAGATGAGACAAAAAACTGTGAAGTTGCATATTTTTATGTGTAACTTTTAATTTATGAAATGTTTAACGGCCAGTGAAAAGAACTATCCACTCACTATCCCTTCTTGACAGGCGTATTTGCAAATTCGTAGTCTATCTAAGACTGCAGGACAAGTGTTGGGTCCTATTTAGGACTCGTCAACCGGATGTGACTACCCCGCATTGAGTATTGTTGTTCCCAATCGGACTCAAACTCAGGACCGATCGCTTCAAACGCCAGAGCACTATCCCCTAGACCACCAAGCCATGATAGCCACTTCTTGTGCGACTAGTAAAGTTTTAATGTTGTTACTTGTCTTATCCCGTCATCGATTACACCGAATTAATCGGTCTCTATCGGCATATGGGCTCCTGAGAGGATGCCTCCATATTGTCTGTGTTTTAATTTATATTAATGATGGATAGCGGCTAACAGTGAAATCCACGGCGCGAGTTCGAGTTCAAGTGAGGACAACACCACTCACTGGGAGACAGGTACATTCAGCTGACGAGTCCTAAATACAATGAAACGCGTTCTGGATTCCACTTTTAGACACTATCCATCAATACTATACAATTGAAACATAGGCAATATCAAGGCATTTGCATATGAGTCCATATGCCTATAGAAACCAATCAGATTCGGTCCAATCAACGATGGGATAATACAAGCAACAACATGAAAAGAAAATAACCCTGAAAATAAGATTTTCAACTTTTGGTTTCAAATAATCAATGCATTTTTTTTAAATGACTAAATCTGCACTTAGCACATACTTTTATCATCATCACTGTTGAGAAACGGATGGCAGTGGTTCAGAAGTTTTAATCACTATCATTATTATCACTATTATCGATAGAATTTATTTATCATTTATTGCTTTATGCTGTACTCAGTATCTCGTTGGTATTCATTGACTCTAGGAGATAACATTGTAGATATTATCCCATTTGAAGTCAGTTATTATGTAAACATACATCGTTATGGATAGAAAGACAGAGAGACAAAATCAACGTAGAACCTTGCACACAAGTGTATCCCTTCAAGTTACCACACTTTACACCAGCATAAAAAGAATAGATGGATAGAATAAGAGTGGTATCAAAGTACGTCACAATTTGAAGATTATGGTTAATGCGAGTATTCAAGCTTAAGATGATGTCTAAGAATGAATACATCTGCGCCACTGTGATCGGTTTTCAACCATGTCACTAAAAGTCTTCAGCCAATGATTCCTCAAGTCTCCAGAACCCTAACCGGGAGGTCTACATCTCCACACAACTGAGACCAACAGTAAGAGACTTTATCCACTGGTGCCACGCCTTGCTCTCGCCAACCTGAACCCTCTTTTAACATAATCCAGTTTCACTTAGCATGATACATGGAAGTAGGCAGCGACTCAGTATATGCAGTACATGTCCAAGCCATCTCAGACGATGAAGGTTAATAACTTCATCAACCAACTTCCCTGTCTAACCTAGTACTCTTCCCCTGACCTCAATGTTCCCCCACACGGTAATGCCACTATACTCTAGGAATGCAACCAGCACACCTGTGATCAAAACTTACACCTAATTTCAATAGCCATGTCTCATAATCATGTAACAGGACAGAAAAGACTATAGCAGTGCAGTAATATACTCTTCCCCTAATAAACAGTCAAATATCTCGCCAGTCCACACCACAGATGACGACGCGAGTTGCCAAATTCTAAATGAGCTTTCTGCATACAAGCTGAGATTTCGTCAGCAACTAGCTCGTTCGAGGTGATGCAACTCCCCAAGTGGTCGAAACATTCCACCACATCACTCCCCATTAATTGGAATATACAAAAAACTGAATTACAGATACTCGAAAAAGGGTGACTAGCATAACTCTATATTTTCTTCCTCATTTTTTTAATTTTTTCAAGGAAATACTTGACTATTTTGCGACTTCAGTAAACTAAAACAGGGAGGAACGAAGACAACAAATGAATGTAAGTACTCCATTATGACAATAAAACTTCACAGCGACAATAACCAGATTAGAAACGACAATAACAATTTTCATATTTACTTATACACCATGACTAATTCTAAGCTTCATACGTTAAACTGAACACGAACCGATCACTGAAAAGGTTATGAATGTTCAATTGAATGAATTCTAACTTCAATGGTAACTTGAAAAACTACCGAAAACTAACTACTTCGTTGCATAATATTGCGACTATGGCTACACATGAAAGGGCACGACCGATTTCGGCATATATGGATAATCCTAGTACTAAAATAACAACACAAATGGAAAATAATTTCTTCAATAAATGTTTCATTTAAACATTTCAACAATAATAAGTAACAATATAACTTGATTAACCCATTGCATATCCGAAAACCTCAAGATACAAAGCAGAAACATGAAAGATTTCAATTGTTACACGCACCTCAACCATGAAGTTTTCCCCCACACAATCCAGACTAACAGAAGAAGAGATTTCATGAACTGGCTCCAAGTGCCAGTCTGGTCATCTAACCCAAAACTTACTTTAGTTACTACTGCGCAACAAGGCATGTGTAACACATGTCCCAACCACCTCAATAGATGAAAGTCCACAACTTCAACTGACTTTTCTCTTCTCCCTGAAACTCTATGCCCAACATCTGAGAAACTACGGTGAAATTTTCACGACAAATGGCCATCACTATGAAGACAACAACAATCGAACACTTGAAGTCTTCTCATATCCTCCACCTGTAATAGTCATTGGTCACAGCCATAGAGAGTAAAATACAGCAAACTGTATGCAGTAACAGCACACGCAACCCTCAGCAGACAACGAATATACATAACTATGTTTTACTAAACATTAATCAAATACACAGCTGATTGACAATATCGTTTTTAATTAACCAGATATTATTAGAAGTTGTGTTCAACCCCATAGGTTTGCGGTATACCAGAGAGAAAGCCTGATGAAAAGTAAATCGTAGTATAATAGTCAGTATCGATCTGTACATTTGTAATTAGAAGAATACCGGTAATGCAACTCAACTAATGAGATAAGAAAGGAATAATTTGGAAAATTCAGCTACATAATACACACAATACAAATACACACACATATGAAATACGTTCCCGCTCCAATTAACTAAAAGTCAATTTATAAATTACCCTACAAACGAATC